TTTTGAAATCATGGAAATATATATAGATACAATAATTGTAAATTAATTACCACTAGACCAAAATTGTAACACCGATATTATTTCAGTAAATGGCAAATTTTTGATATATTATACAAATTGCACTATTAAAATTAAAGAATATTACTTCTTTAATGTAATAGAAAAATCAGAAGAAAAGCTTATATACAATATGATAACAAACAAATACTAAAGAATTTTACTACAAAATTGTTATTTAAACAAATAATTGAACAAAATAAGAAAAAACGTTAACTTCGGTTGCGCCGAAGCTATAATACCCTTCACAAATACAAAGGCCCCTTAGAAGAACTTGATTCCGAACGTTCAATTTGTATGGCAGCTATATGTTATAGTGATCTGATCTGACCAATTTCTGTGGAGAATAATTTATTGCCTTAAGCAATAACTCGTGCCTAATTTCGTGAACATACCTCGTCAAATAAAAAAATTTTCCATGCAAGCACTTTACTCCGATCGTTCAGTTAATATGGCGGCTATATGCAATAGTCATCCGATCTATACAATTTCTTCGGAGATTAGATTAATGCTTCAAATAATAATACATGCCAAATTTCGTGAACATACCTCGTCAAATGAAAGAGTTTCCCATACAAATACTTGATTCCGATTGTTCAGTTTGTATGGCAGCTATATGCTATAGTGGTCCGATATCGGCCGTTCAGACAATTGAGCAGCTTCTTTGTTAGAAAAGGACAGGTGCAAAATTTCAGATCGATAGCATAAAAACTGAGGGACTAGTTTGTATATATACAGACAGACGGACAGACAGACAGACGGACAACTCGTCTCTTCATCCTGATCATTTATATATATATAACCCTATATCTAACTCGATTAGTTTTAGGCGATACAAACAACCGTTAGGTTAACAAAACTATTATACTCTGTAGCAACAGGTTACGAGAGTATAAAAAGGGTTAATACATTGCAATGTACCTTAAATCAATTAATGCAAAGTATATGTAATTTGAGACCATTTCCTGCCGCTTGAAATTATTTTAAAAAATTTAACAAAACAAAATTATATTCCTCACCAACTTTTTGAATTGATCGAAATTGGGAAATTTTTTAGCATTCTTTGTAAATTTATTTAAAGTTGAGTTAGCTATAAACTTTCGTTGTAAGAAATATTGTTCAATAAAATCAGTCTGATTTCCACATGCTCCACCGATAGTTCGCTGTTAATTAAATAATTCGGCTTTTATTTAAAAAACGGTTTGTCGCGACGCAAAACTCAATTCGCGTACTGCTGTATACGTACAAGGTACAATTCAAAAGTTCCAGGCCTTTTTAAACAACGCGGCTTATAGTGGCGCCATCTGTCTGAAATTGTTATCCCTCAATTGTGTATTCTTCAGTGTTGTCGTATAAAATTTATATAACAGCTGAGATATCGCGCTACATGTTACATTACATTTGTAGTGTCGGTCGGAAAATGAGCATCGAACAATAAGCCAACATTAAGTTTTGTTTTAAACTTGGTAAAACTTTTACCAAAACTCATCAAATGATGAAACAAGTTTATGGCGATGATTATCTATCCCGTAGCCGTATTCACGAGTGGTTTAAACGTTTTCAAGAGGGACGGGAGCACTTGGAAGACGACGAACGTTCGGGTCGGCCATGTTGATGTTGTGAACGAAAAAACACGGAAATTGTGCGTGAATTAATTAAAAAAGTGCCGAAATCAAGGCTTAAATATGTGGAATCGGAATTATTAATATCCGCAGCGTCGATTTATCGTATTTTGACAGAAAATTTGGGCCTCAGAAAGGTTTGTGCTCGATTTGTCCCGCACACTAAAAAGACCTCAGAGTTCGACACTCACGACAGATTTTTTGACCAATAATCGCATTCATATCATCAACTATTCACCCTATTTGCCTGATATGGCACCCTGCGATTTTTATTTGTTCGGAAAACTACATTTGGCCATGAAAGGAAACCGCTATGATGACGTTGATGCCATCCAAAAGGCGATGAACGAAATCCTCAACGCTATACCGACAAATGACCTAAAAAAGTCATTCGATAACCTTCATGAACGTGCAAAACGTTGTATTCAGGCGGAAGGAGACTATTTTGAAGGCGACCAATAAATAATGTATAATATTCGTTTTTTAATAAAAGTCAATTATTTACATAACGAAATTATGCATGTATGTATACACAATCTATTGTACATACACATGCAAATATATCACCCAAAAAACAACAATCGTCTCACACAGAAAAAAATTACAAAAGTGGCAACAAATTTTTTTTCGATTTAAGACATTTTACAATTATAAAATATTTTTCCATGGCTCCCAAAAATCTCCGTTGATTTGTATGCATGCTTTTATATAAACACACATATTTACGATAGTTTGTTGCCTAAGCTGTTAGAGCTCCAAGGGAAGCGGTGACACCCGGCGGTCGTTCGATTAATTTTTTTCGGCACAGCTTGGATTTTTTATCCACAACACAATGTTGTGACGCTTTGTCGTCGCGTAAGTTCTTGGACAGCTTGACTCTTTGGCATAAAAACAAAAAACAGCTTCGGCCATTTTTTCTCTCTGACAACGGAGATGTACATATTATATATTATTTACATATAACGGGTGATCCCAGTAGAGATACTTTTTGAATAGCCTGTTTTTGACAGATCACGCAAGAGTCGTGTCAAGCTGCTATGTTATTTTTGTTTAGTATTGTTCAACATTATTAAGAAAATTCACGTTCTATAAAGAATGGGTTTCGCGTGCTTCGCTCAACTTATGGTCAACATAATTGACCTACTGAGCATACTATTCGCAACACCATCACCTATCTTGAGACTTAACTTTCCAGCATTCATTATTGATAATATTCGACCAAATAGACCACGTCCAAAACACACTGAAGAAAATATAGCGGGCGTAGCTGAGAATGTACACGAAGATCGTGGAGAGGGTACTAGAAGATCCGCCGTTTTCGAGCCAAATTTTGTTCAGCGATGAGGCCCATTTCTGGCTTAATGGGTTTGTAAACCAGAAAAATTTCCGCATTTATGACGAAGAGCAACCTGAAGAGCTGCCATTTCACCCAGAAAAAACAGTTTGTGGTTTATGGGAATCATCGGTCTACTTCTTCAAAAATGATACCGGTGAGATCGTAACCGTCAATGGCGACCGTTATTGCGCCATGATAACCGATTATTTGATGCCTGAAATTCAAGTTTCGGCGACATTTGGTCTCAAAAAGACGGTACCACTTCCCACACATCGCATTAAGCAATAAATTTACTGAGAGAACTTCGGTGAGCAGATATTTTCATGTTTTGGGCCGGTCGATTGGCCACCCCGATCGGGTGATATTAAACCTTTAGACTTTTTCCTATGGGCATATGTAAAGTGTATGCGAACGATCCCGCTTCGATCCAGGCCTTGAAGCAAAAAATCACGCGAGTCATTCGCCAGTTACCAGACGAAATGCTCGAACGAATCATTGAAAATTGGACTCAACAGGTGGATCATCTGAGACGTAGCCGCGGCCAACATTTGAATGAGATAATCTTAAAAAAATAATAATGTTCTTTCAAATGATAATAAACATTCGCTATTAAATTTGAATTTTCTATTTTTTTTTTTAAGGTCGATATGAATCACCCTTTATATGATATGTTGCATGTAGACAGATTTATAAACATTATGCGTACGGCATATATGTATTTTTATGTAAGCTAATAAATATATAAATACATTATTTATAAAACCTATATTAATAAATATTTAGGTTATTATACAAAGTTTACTTTATTATACATTTCAAAAGATTTTATGAAATTCTTTATGAAAAGTGTCAATTTGAACATACATATGTGCTTTGATACCAAATAAATAAAATATCTATGTATAAATTATTGTATATGCAGAGTCGTTTGCGCATTGTAAATAAACGAATCTGTAAGCATACATTTCTTAACATTGGGGTTACTTATTTTTCTTTTTTAACACTGCTCAATTCTGTTATTTTTGAGTCCCCTGATGTTTAATTTTAGTGGAATACACTAATAATTTTCTGTGGTGAAACACGCTCATCGTTGCCGAGTAGTACGATATTAGTTTTACGTTCTCTGCGCCGTGAACCTCCTCTATGATATACGTTCTCTGCCGATAGGTTATCAGTAATTAACGCATTTATTATCCGATAGTAACTATTTCTCCTCTTTCACCACACGTTGGTATGATTATCTTATCCGCTCTCTCATTGCCTTGGGGCATATGCTACATATATTTTACTGCTCTAATCCAACAATTTTGGAAAACTATCTGTAACCCTTTTCGGTTAACAGCGTCCTTTTCATTGTCCATTTGTTTGGTTTACAATCTGCTACTGAAAATAGTTTATACGGTTATTGCTATGGTTACCTATAAGTTACAGAAATCTGGTGCATAGGTTATTTGTTTGGTTAGCCATTGTTTTCAGAAAACTGGTGCATCGTTACTTGCTATGGGTTATTAATTGGTCACCACTGCATCATGTATTGGTTACCTATTTCCTTATAAATAAAAAATTGAAATTCTTATTTTATTTTTATTTATTTAATTTACATGTTTATACATCATAGTTCTACAAGTAGTTCTTCTTTCTATTTTTACAAATTTTAAGTTATTATTTTAGATTTGCTTTTAAATAATGGCTTTAATATACATACATTACAAAATTATTTTCCTTTTAGAATCATTTCTTGGCGGATATTTATATATATATGTACAATATTATCATTATTTTTTGTATTGTTGATAAAAAAGCTTATATATATATGGCTTAGAGATAGTTAATACCAATTGTTCAATTTTTATAGTCTACATAAATTTACTAATTGTTAATATTCGCAAATTATGTACATACATATATTATATAATTATATATGTATAATAATAAGCATAATTACAATAATATTTTTAATTAATTAATTTAGTACTTAAAACTAATAGGAAACTTAAATTTTATAATTTAAAAACTAAAATGATGATATTGAAGTCCAGCTTGAGAACTTTCCATCGAAATTTGCAAATATCTAAAATGAATTAAAAATTATTTTTGTTTTGTATTTGTTAAAGTATCTATATTATATTACAAAAATAAATGCATGCAAGTCATATAAAAAGTTGAGGGCAACAATATGGTGACCAAACAAATGATTAACAATATGAGTCTGAAGAAACAATTCCAATAATTAAAGTATATATACATATTCAACATAGAAAAAATAACAATATTGGCCAGTTATCATTAATTTGTTTATAATTATATGTTATTTTAACGCCTTATATATGACCTTAATTATAAGTAACATCTAGCAGAGTTATATAATTTCTTTACTTGTATTCAGTAAGCTGTCAAATGACGATAGTTCACGTACAAGACGTAGAACCGCAGTACAGCATTCATTTCCTCAACCGATTTACGCACAGCCTTTATGCCCAACACTTGGAATATTTCAATTCGATACGCAGCAACTATGGCGAAATGTGTGTTGTATTGAAATCGGACATCTCATAGTAGACATTTCCGAATTCTTGATCCTCCGAGATGACAGTCCTCTGCGTAAAAAAAACATGATTTCCTTTAGATGCGGCACACCCAATGTTACGTTATTTTATGGCACATTAGCAAAATGTAAAGTGTTGATTGTCATCTAAAAACACTTGAAAATAAACAAAGTAAATAATAAGTAGCTGATTTAAGCATTGCGCACCCATGCTTACCTGTTTATCACGTTCACCCAATTTTGCGCTACCAGCCCACTATTTCGCCAGGGTGTGCTAATGCTTGCTGAAAACGCGTTTCAATATCACCAATCAACGTCTCGGCCGATAGACGGAACTCCTCCGCTACATACTTCGTGCAAAGTGTGGAGCCCATCAAACATTGAAAAAACAATGTGGCGTTCTCATTGGCCTGTTTTGAAAGATGATCGTTGCCCATCATGATCGCACAGCTCTGCAAGAGACATCAACAATCATTACAATGGTTGCGATGGTTTCAGGTGTTCTTGTTTTGTACGTCTTGCTAGCCCTGGCAACTACTCGCGAATCCGTCTCGACAAATGTACGAAATTTCTAACGACTTCTCAATCATCCTTTTCTTTTATGCCACTTGAATTATTAAAAAAAAAATTATTTGGCGACTTTGCTATCGTATGCAGGGCCGCTGAAAGAAAAACCGGGCCCAGGAGTAAAGAGGTGGGGCCCCTACAGAAATTTATCGAATACTTTATACATTTAATTAACTATCTTTCCCCTTGTACTTCAATGTTTTTGAAGAATAAGTCAATTTCCCCGTAGTGTTTTATACATCTGTATTAAATGTGCTTTCTTGTTAATGTTGGGTGGAACAAATTTGTTTTGTACGATCTTCAAAATCAGTAATGTACAAGGTGCGTTCCAAAGTAAACAGTACAAAAGTCACAAAGTAAACTCTAGTGGCCATCTATATGTCGACTACTGCGTTAGAATCTGCTATCCTTTATCGACTTCCAGTACAAATTTCATGACATTTCACATGACATGGAAGTGAAGTTATTGCGTAGTGTCAGTATGTTTTTGTCATCGGTGCGAAAATGAGCTTCGAACAAAGAGCCAACATTAAATTTTGTTATAAAATTGATAAAACTTTTACCGAAATTCATTGATGAAACAAGTTTATGGCGATGACTGCCTATCCCGTAGCAGAGTGCACGAGTGGTTTCAACGTTTTCAAAGTGGTCGTGAGGACATAAATGAGAAATGAGCCGAAACCCAAAAAATTGCGCCTGGAGGAGTCAAAAGTGAAGACAATGCTGATTTGTTTTTATGATTCCAAGGGTATTGTACACAAAGAATTTGTTCCACCCGGCCAAAACGTTAATGCGGTATTCTACCTTGGAGTTTTGAGAAGATGGAAGTTGGCGTTTGTTGCACGAAAATGCGCTGTCTCATCGATCGACGCTTGTGGTCGATTATTTGACCAAAAATCACATTTTAACAATCAACCACTCCCCGTATTCACCTGATCTGGCACCGTGCGACCTCTACCTTTTCGGAAAAATTAACTTGCCGATGAAAGGGAAGTGTTATGCAGACGTGGATGCCATTCACCGGCATACTGGCGGCCATACCGTGCAAAAAGCTGTATTAAAGCAGAAGAAGACTATTTTGAATAAAATTAATTGATTTTGCCGATAAAACCATTTGTTCTGTATTTTTTTTAAAAGTCCTGTTTACTTTGGAACGCACCTTTTATAAATCAGTTCATACTTGTACATAGACAGTCAAAAATATTTTTCCAGATGACAAGACATGCCGTTAAAACCCTCCAATTTTAAATTTTTTGGAACTTAGAAGTGAGCTTTTCGAGCTTTGGCGACATCGATTGCGTCGATAATAGTCTGGATTTCTTAACTAATTCTGCCTCAAGGCGCAGTGTAACTAGTCCAGAAATCCTGCCCTGTGACGAGCATGATCGATGAAAATGTTTGATCCTTGCTAAAGCACTAAACTATCACTATTTCACTATTTGAAATAGAAACGACTAAAGTGCAAAATATACTCAAAGCGATGCAAATATTTGGGATAGGTTTTCATAATTTTTGAGCAATGATGACAAATGATGACATTTAATAAGTTATATGGAGTAAGACGCGTTTAAAAATGTGCCTCGTAAACATGTCTGAGATGAATAGCTTCATAGGAGAACTTATCAGGTACATCAACGGAATACAGTTTTTTCAAATTTTTTGTAGTTGTGTTGAGTTTATCTTCTTTCATAACCTGGAACTGCCATAGAAATGAAAACGATTTCTTTTGAATTCAATTTATTCTTTACTGCAATATTAATACACTTCTTCATTTAGGTCGTTTCCGTGTTTTTTTCGGGCAGAAATTACAAATCCACAAGAAGGCTTTATATACTTCTAACTTTAGCGTCGATGGTGGCATTGATCTCTTGAAGAACTAAGTTTCTTTCATTGATTGAGGATTTTCAACCATATGGAGGCCATAAAAAGCACGATCCCGTAAGGTTGAGTTTATTAACTTCTTTCAAAGCATTTACCAATCCGGGAAGATTTTTCGCAAATGGCTTGACGGTATCGATTCTGGCAGACCCCCTTGTATTGGACAGTGGAGTGAATTGGGTATTTTGGATTTCAGAATTTCCTAACGTTACACCAAAAAAGAAGTTATTGCTCTAGGATAGCATTCAGCCGAGTCGACTCCAGCCAAATTCAGCGTGAGGGCGAAAGAACTACATACTTATTTTTACGTTGGATGTGATTTTGCGCACCTTCATATTTACCATTGATTTTACTATCATTATCGTAGCCCTTATCGTAGCGGTGATCTTCCAAAGTAATGTTGTATTTTCCAATGTTTTGCAAATTAAAGCTGCAATAGCTTTGTCGGTTTTTTCGTTACAATCTACAAAAGCGCGAAAACATTCCTTTATCGGTAATCACAACGTTTAAATAATTATTCACCTAACAAAGGCAAACTAATTTTTAACTATTCACTTAATTTTTTGGCAACCACGGGGCCGTGGGGAATCGTCTCGACGCTGTCTCTCCAAAATTTAAATTCAAAATTTTTTTATCGTACAAACCATTTATTTTTCTTTTTGTGTCCTTTGAGAATTTTGAATCCTTATTTTTTTATACCGACTTAATAAGAAAAATTTTCCAGTTATGACCATATAGCATATCATTTATTTTTTCCCGCTTTATTTGTAGCTTGAAAATAATTCGGATGTTTATACATACATACGACATACAATTTGTCTATGCCTGTATACCGTATATACATAGGGCACAATAATTAAATAATTAATAATAATAAATTACAAAATTTCGCAATATTAACAGTGTGGTAAATAGGAATTACTAAAATTTTATTTTATTAAATTAAATTTATTCGAACAATCGGTTAAACAAAACAAAAAATAAATTTGGGGGAAAAAGTACGTACATATTGGTACTAGTACTTATACAATTGTGCTTATGATATATTCAACGACCAATTCGGCACATTTCTAGCAATATCGCTTGTTCTTGTTATAACACAAGTAATTGCCAACAAAACATCTAAGCATATTATAAGTATATGAACATATCGTGCACACTTATGTACAAAGGGTATTAACTTTTCTTTACGAACGCGAATATACGGAAGTACATACAACCGAGTACGTGACAATAAATAATAAAATATAAAGAAACCGAACCAAAAAACTATTGACGCAAGTAAATAAAAACCCATTAAAAAAAACGTAATACGCATTCTTTATTGACACATTCCGGATACAACAAAAAATAAAATCTTATTTACTTAAAGGAGTTATATGACATATGACGCAATAGTAGAATCTGGCGACTTAGACCTGCCGGAAAATTTTAAATACTTACGTCAAATATGAAAACTGCTTAGGCTAGTTCGAAGAAACAAAAGCAATAATTTCTGATCAATTAAAATTAATTAAAGTAATTTAACCTACTGCCTATCCGAGAGTAGAGCAGTCTCAAAGTTAAAGTCAAGAGCTAAAATCAGGCATCCATCTCATGTGACAAGGAAATATTTCTTGGTGGTTATGAACAATGACCGTTCATCCTAAATTATCAAAAGCGCAAAAACTGTACCACCTCAGATACAAAACTGAAGGTCAAGCAGGCGTAATAGTAAAACTGTTCGTTCGGGAAGCTCTAAAATCTAAATATGAAAATGAAAGAATATTGGTCGATAGGTAAGTAACTATAAATGGTTTTGCCTTAAATTTAAAAAGTGAAGAATTGTTAGAATAAAATCCGTTGTTCCTAATTGTTTGTTGGTTATACCGACACAAAATATTCCCACAGACAACTAGGACCAAATATTGGTAAATATATGCACCGCCGCATTTCCAGAAAAAACGTTCCTTTTGTGGAAGCAATCGCTCTCATCTCGAAAAAAATGTCCAAGGTGACAACTAATGAAAGACTTTCTAACTAACCAATGCGGAATCGCAAAGAGAGTAGACAAATAAATAGTCAGAACGAAAAACGTTCAACATGACCTTAATGGATGCTTCAATAGACCTCAAGATAGCAGCAACAACAATAAAAGCTTTTTCAAAAATCAATCGTTCACATCCGAACAGTACAAACAAACAATGCACGACATATACTTAAATCCTGCGAGAATTTTAATAAATTAAAAATTAACGAAATAAACAATTTCGTGAGATGAAAAAAAGTATATACAAATTGCTTGTCATCTGCGCATGCGCTTAAATATTTCGAAAGCAAATTCAATTGCGTTTACGAAATAATTCCATGCTTTATTATAACAATTTTTCCAACTTCCCCTCAAACAGCGCAAATATGAAAAGAGCTATGGATTTCGTTGCAACAGCAACAAATGCTGAAGTTCCTAATCCCCAAAATTTATAAGAAGCATCATGCTGTTTAAAAGCATTCAAAACTCAAATGCTACACAACCAAATTCAAAGTAGGGTATTACTTACTTAGAACCTTAATAAATCACAACCATAATTTAGAGTCTAGGGCATAAGATAAGCTACAACTGCCAACAAAACAAACCGACTTCGAAATTGCGGGAATGGGCGGAGTAGTTCAAAACTATAATAAATCTACCCCATTACCTCAATTTCCCCCCAGGTGGATAAAAGAATCAAAGTACAAGCCGTAGTCTTACCGCATTAGACAAATATGCTTCAATGCTGTCAAATAAATAGCAAGCATTGGCAAATGGTTTTACACCTACAGCTATCAGATCCCAACTCTCAAATAGATATTCTATTAGCAGCGATCTCATGCCACAAATAATTTTTGATAGTGTTGAAAAAATTTCAAACACGCTTCTTGCACAAAATACTATTTTCGGTTGGATACTATGTGCACAAGTTACTGAACCAGTTTCCGCAATCAATTGTGAAGACTTCTATAAAGCCACAACTACTCGAAAGCCTCAATAGTCCACTACGCGACTATAAATTAGAAACAGTGATCTTTGGCGTTAACTTTGCTCCATACTTAGCCATTCGAACACTACAGGAATTGGCAGAAAACACCAGGTCAGAATTTCCAGTGGCAACCCGGTTGTTAAAAAAACAAACGTATGTAAACGATATTAAGTCTGAGAGTCACAGCATACGCATCACTTTCACAAACGATACAAGCCCTCAAAATCGCAGGGTTTCCATTAAAAAAATATAACGGCGAAGCACCCTAATATTCTAAAGGACATACCTACAGAAAACTTGTTAGACACTAATTTCGTCAAATTCGAAAAGAAAGTACAGCGAAACTCTGGGGATTAAATGGAATGCGATATCCGACTAGTACTCATAGTCAATATCCGGATTATCCGCCATAACAAAGATACAAATTTTCCTCTCTGTGGCAAAACTTTTCGACCCCGCAGGTTGGGTTTTGCCAATTATGATACAAACAAAAGTCCTAAAATGCCTTGGAGATGATCAAGTAATTCCATCAAACGCTTTGGGTGTATTGGTGTCGTCGGCTTTTGTCGACTCTGCTTGATGAAATTAAAAATGTTTGATATTTCTATTTGACGGCGGCTAATTTGATCGTCTCCACTCATGCTTACCAAACACAAGTTCATTTTCATAGTTAAAGGAGCAACAAGTGCGCGGACTAAAAATATATTATTAAAATATAAATCTTTATATTTTATATTATTTAAATTTTTTAGATTTGTTTTATTTTTATAATATAAAATATTTTGTTAGGTGATGTTAAAATTTAATGAACTTTTAATTATTTAAAAACATTAATTTAAAATCATTAGGTTTCTGAATCCATTCGCAAAAAGTTATGATAATCTCTTTTGCTTGATAATTTAAATTCGTCTATAATATTTTCATGTGCAAATTGCTTCCGATTTTGGAACTCAACTTACATACACCCACTCTTGCTTCTCCTATTTGCCCTTTTTTTACAATAATACTGCAGCAGCCCTTAATAAAAGTAAATCGCCTTCTGATGATGACATGACAACCGATCGTTGGGAATGCAAATATAAAATGATGATTGACATGTTAATTGCGTACAGTGATGCACCTAGATTTTTAAAAAGCAAAGGTCGCTTTCATCGCATCTACTCAAGCGCACTACTTCAGCCGCGAGATATCATTACTAAGAGGATCGAAGACGATTGATAAAAAGCGCTCACTCTTACTACTAAATTCGTTTCTGGATACAAAAGGTCTGCTTCGTGCGAATAATCGGCTTGGCAACTCTGGACTGACATATAACGGACGCCACCCCTGAATTGTAGCAGAAAAACAACAACTTGTCACATTACTCCTTAGTTATATACACATGCTAATGCTACTGGTATTGGGAACTACAATAATCGTTTGATTCAGTATTTCTATTTCTCTGATCCTTATTTTAGCGTATCCCGGTTGGTTGTCAAGCTTGTTTATTTGTAGAAGTGTGTTGCTTGCCGTTATTATCATTAATAGTATAGGAATTTTCGCCATTATGATCCTGAAATTTAAATTTTCGTTTGACTTGAGTCTTGTAAGCTTTTTTAAATTTTGAATCTGTAGATATTAAATGATTTCCCTCTTCTTTAAAATTGTCTATTCTCTTGTATCTTGGTTGTGCTTTGCTAACTCTATGATTATTTATATATTTATTCTGTGTGTTCTGTATTCTCTTGTGTGTTTATTCTTTTTTATTTTTTTATTAATAGTATTTATTACATTTTCTTTCTACGAAAGTTTTTTAGAGTTTTTCGCGAGTTTCCTTAGTTCTTGTTCGGAAAGTAGGTTATAGAGACCAATTTTCATCGTAGAATGTATGGTATTATTATAGGCAGTTTTTGTTTTGAATACTTTTTCTTTCAAATTGTCATTGTTATTTGCATCAGCATTAAAAAGTCTTAAGTATTCATTCAAAGTGGAGTGCAATCTTTCAATATCTGCGTTTCCTGTTTTATTATAAGTGGTCGTTAGGTGTAGGTTCATTTTATTGTTCTTAAAGAAATGTTTTATTGGCACTGTATCTAATTCGTTGTATGTTACTAAAGTTTCCGGTTTGCCTAAATATTGAATTCTTTCTTCATAGCATTTACAATTGATATCCAAGTTCTGTCCTTTAATGGTTTAGCTGTTGCGTATTTTGTTAGTTTAGGTATCGATACTTGTAAGGTACATTACGCCTTTTTGTGGGTACCAAATATCAAAATAAACAATTTCGTTATGCTTTTTATGAGTTTCCATAATATTTAAATTATGTTTGATAGGGTTTCCATCGAACTTCGCTTTATTACATATTTCACAATTATTGATGTATTTCTGTATTTATTTTTGTAATTTGGGGTAATAGTGTGTTTTCTTTATTTCTTCTAATATTTCATTTATTCCCCTGTGATTATTTTCTGGGTGTTTCTCTTCTATCAATGTTAAAAGTTCTATTTTGTCTGTTATATCTTTTAAAATTGTCTTTGCTTTCATTATTTTTAGGTTTGCATTATTTGCGAAAAATTTTATATATAACTCCTGAAGTTGTAGAAATAATTTGTCATCAGGGCAGTAGATTAAGACTAATCCTTTTACTGGTAGATTCTCTTGCATTATTTTTAAAATATCGCTTTCACTTGTAACGTTTATTATGATTCTTATTTTCTTTTGATGTATAATTTTCTTTGTTATTGATTATCTTTGCGCTCTTTCAGTTATAAGTTGATTTATATATATATTGATTGTATTTTCCTTTATTTTCTGCACTGTGTACTGTATCTAAGTCATAATCATTAAATATTTCATTTAAATTCAATTCCATCATACTATTATTTTTATAATTTAGTCTGCTTAAAACATCTGCAATTACATTTTCTTTTCCTTTTATGCAGTTATTATCGAAATCGAACTCATTCAGCTTTATTTTCCATCTTTGGAGTTTAGCGTTTGGTTCTTTGGACGGAAATATTTCGTTGAACAAACTATTGCAAGTAACTCTTTTTCTATTGTACTATAATTTTTTTCATGCCCGTTTAGTGATCTACTAACAAATAACTTTATCAGTTT